GATATCTGTATTTACATTCTGACTAGTAAGAATAATAATTCAAGATATCTTCAATTATATGTTGACTAGTCAAAATTCCTTTCGAGATATCTCAAATGACGTCACCGGGGGTCAGACATCCGTAATTATAATCTTAAATTAAATTTAAGATATCTCAAACGTAATTATGACTAGTCAGAATTACAATTTTAGATATCTGAATGACGTAACACCCCTCTTTGTCTGTACTGAGCTGTCCAAACAATTGCCTGAACATTCAATGGCGCTGGCGGTTTTGGACAAAACTGTAAGAAAATGGCTCAATATAGAAAGAGCTCTTCAGTATGGGATATGCGGAGAGCGCGAAAATCGTGTACTTGAGGAATGTTTAAGGAATTTGCAAAGAATTTCTGATTTACTTTCTGCCGACACACACAATGCCCTGAAAAACTGCTTAGAGGAGCTGAAAGTGCTACTATCGACCCATGTCCAAGCTTTAAATGGGGAATATTCCGCAGCTCTGGCCAGTTCAGGTAATAACCAGATGTGGTTTTTATACTGTGGTAAAGCTGTCTGCCTCTTCGGAAATGATAATAAAGCCAGTCAGCTCTCGATTTTGACATGCTAGACGGCACCAGGCATTACAGCGCCCTCCTTTAGCTCCTCTGAAAATAAAAGCTACCTCCGGTTTTGTATGATTCACGATTTAATTTGCTTTCCAGCGTCTATAAAAGTTTAAAGCTTAGTGTTCATGCAACAGGAAATGATGTATATCAAAATAAGTTTATACATTGTGTGAAATGCATTGTGTCACCCTTAGAAGACAAAGGGATACCTAGAGGATAGATAGACAGACATATGGATAGAGGAAAACAGATGTATAAAGTAAACATTATGCTGAGGCATTTGAATATGAATCTATTTTAGGTGGTCGAGGGAGACCGGCTATTCATATTACAAGAGAGCAGATGGACTTTCTTCTGGCCCAAGGACACACGGTCAAGAGGATGGCAAACATCTCTGGATGCTCAGCATCATTTCTTTAGAAGAAGTCCAAAGCACTTGGTGCACCAATAAGGGGAAGGCAGTGACTGATGAAGACCTTGAAACTAATATCAGACAATTACAATCCCTGTATCCAAATTCTGGAACTGAGGTATGGAATCTAAATATATTGCTTCTGAACAAATAATATGTTCAACAGTGGTGGTGCAGAATACTAATTATTTAATGTTAAGTGTCACAAATGATGATGATTAAAAAAAATTAATTTATTTTATGATCAGATGTGAAATCTGAAACCTATATTTTGTAAAAGATTACTTTCAAAATGTAAAATTGTGTGGTGGTTTGAAATAGTGAGACCACATGTCCTTCATTGAACCAGATGATGCGAGGCTTGTTTCATGCACAAGGACTGGTGGTTCCACGGCGTAAGGTCCGTGAGATGATGGCTCGAATCAACGCCATGGCGACTGCAAGGAGGTGGAGCAGCACAGTGACTATCATGTCCCGTATCCCAACAGTTTATGGCATATTGATGGCAACATGCGTCTCATAAGGTATCTGAAAATATCAAGGATGTATTTCAGAGTAAATTTTTTAAAGCTAAATTCACTATACACATTTGCATACATTTTTTTGTATTTCCATTTAGGTGGGGCTTTGTGGTCCATGGTGGCATCGATGGATGTTCTCGCTTAATTACTTGAACTGTAGCACAGACAATCGCGCCTCAACAGTGCTATTTCATTTTCTCAAGGCAACAGGCCTCTATGGCTTACCTTCTAGAGTGAGGTCAGATCATGGTGGCGAGAATGTGCAAGTGGCACTGGTGATGAACCTCCTACAGGTCACTGAACGTCGGAGTCATATCACTGGGAATCCATCCATAATCAGAGAATAGAGCGTCTTTGGAGGGATGTGTTTTTACATGTTCTGGAACCATTTTACAGCATGTTTTATCATCTTTAAGATTCAGCCCTCTTGGATCCCAGCGACGATGTGCACAAACTTTCTCTTCATAGTTTTTCTTCCTGAGATTCAAAGCCGACTAGAACAATTCAGGAAAGCATGGAACCACCATTCCCTGCGTACAGAAAACAACAAAACACCAACACAAATCTGGACTGAACGGATGTTGGCAAACATGGGTGCCAACAGCACAGCAACTAACAACGTGTTTGGTGAAAATTCCAGCGCACCAGAGACTTGAAGAACTTCTGCAACATCATGGCCTTTGGCCACTACCAACCACTGATGCTGAGCAGGTCCCTAGTGTAGTTGTAGAACCACCTTAAACCAGGCTCAGTCAGCAGCAACTTCAATCAGTTAATCATGCAGTCAATCATATTTCTTATCTGATGCCAAAATACCAGGCCTGTTGTGCAGAAATTGCAAATGCTTTATTGATTTAAATACATGTCACTATGTTTGAGAAGGAGTGACAAACATCAAGAACAAATACATTGTATCAAATACATTCGTCTTAAGATACAAGTACTACAAATAAAACTTGGAATTAACGTGAGTAGGTAACCTTACAGATGTAATTATAAAATGTTAAGGTGTTTAAAGACATGACATATTAAATATACATTCTGCAGGAAAAATAAAAATTCTACTTTTGAAAATGTTCATGTATAAATGACTAGTGTCTCCCAACCCCATTTTCAAATGCATCTTTTGGACCCTTTGACCTTCATTAGAATTTGATTTTGTTGTTTTTAATCCAAATGAGCAGTGTTCATTGCATGAACTAGAACAACCATTACAAAAGATTAAACTACAATGCCCATTTACACAGCCAAAAATAAAAAAAAAAAAAAAAATTTACCAAGATTTTCCAGTGCAAAAATCTTTCTACACTTCAAATAAGACACAAGTAAGATATAACTAACGTTTCATCAAGATATGAGCTTGTTTTAATCCACTTTTTCCTTAATATTGATGAAAAAGGACTTATTACATTAGCAGATTATTTCACTTATAGCAAGGGAAAGATGTCTAGTTAGAAGTGAAATTAATATGCCAATGTAAGGACTACTTTTTCATCAATACTAAATTATTGACTTAAAACAAGTGAAAAGTTACATGTACCGTATTTTCTGCACTATAAGGCGCAACTAAAAAAACCTTCAATTTTCTCAAAAGCCGACAGTTCGCCTTATAATCCGATGCGCCTTGTAGTGCGGAAAATACGGTAAGTTAGTTTTATCTTAAGTGTACTAAGATATTTAAACTAGAAAATAGTCCAAAACTACTTGATAAGACCTTTTGTTTTTGCAGTGTGGCTCAAACACCTTTAAATTTGTGAAAAGTGGTTAAGAGAGACATCTATTTGCAAAAAAATAAAAAATGCAAATATTGTATTTACATTTCAATATTTTCCAAGTTTGTCCATTACATTACCTTTACTATAACTTGCTTTAAAACACTTAACTTTTCAAAACATTCCAACTCTTTCTTAAAAGAACTGCTTAGGACACTTATTGGCTGATTATGGAACACCAAAGGTGCCTGCAGCAGCCCCTCTTTCACGTACTTTGTGAAAGACTCATAGTCTGAGTGTACAGGAAGGTGGAGAATTATAAGGCAAGTATTTGCTTCTGGGAAGACTTTGTTAGCCTCATGGAGAAATTCAATTTGAGGACGATGGGGAAAGCCCAGTGGAGGCACCGTGGATGCTCCGGAAGCGAACTCCAGTATCATTTCAAGGGTAACGGGACTGCATTCTCCTTCTGAAAGACAAAATGTTGAAATTATGACGTTTGATATAAGGTATCCAGTGTGTACTTGTAAAGACATGAAAGAAAATGTGTTAAATGCCTGCCCATGTTCCTCCTCAATCTTGTTAGATCAGTGATGACAATGCATTTCTTGTTAGTAAATACAAATCAATATACATTTTGAAGATGAACCATGACTAAGCATGATCATTGTAAATAATATGTAAAAATATGCATTTATACAACAAATTA